TGAGTTTACTTAGGACTTCACCGGGAGCAGGATATTGCCCTTAGTTACTGTCACACTATGTTCAGAGAACCAACCTATTTAGGTCATATTGGCGGAGAAATGAATAGACACAAATTAGGAAAATCCTCCTCTTCCCACTTTTTTTTGTTAAAGAAAAAATGTAATACATTAAATCTGATTAGCATTAAACATTGCACACATGCTGAGCTTAGTGTGAAATAGAAAATACACTTTGCTTAAATTATTTACTCCCATTGTATATGCCAAGAAGATAAACATTTCCCTCCCCCTGCATAAAAAACAAATACTTATACACCCTGAGCATGCTGGGCTATTTGCCTCCACTGCAGTCTTGTGCAGGTAGATTAGTCACAATAACAACAATCTCAGTATATGTACCAAACACAGCTGCCCTTTTGACATGTTTTCCCAATCTGAGAGATTATGGACAATAATACCTTGTTTCCTACTGCAAACCAAATGTTTATATGCCATAACCTGTTATCCAGACAATAGATCTCTGACTTCTCCACTGAAGTTAAAGAAGTTACAGCAGGGATGAATTTAGCCCAATGGGTTTTTATGTGCTTTCTTGGACTGTATAACCCAAGACTCTTTTCTGTGGCTCTACTGCGATTGTATTTTATCAAGCATGCTATAATAACAAATGTATTTTTTCTCTTATCTATCCATTAGCTGTATCTGCATGCCATATTGACTCCTTTCTGTACTCTAGCTTTTTCTCTGTTATCCCTCAGGGCTCCTAACTGAACAAATTCTGCATTGCAGCCAAACGAAACAATCTATGAGATTTTCATTTTCTGCTCCATTCCCACTTTCAAGCTATTATCACCAGAATGTTTAGAAGCTATTGTCACATAGACATGTCTTCCAGTCTGGACCTGGAAATAGAAAATATACAGCAGGGGCAAACTGGTACTTTTGTAGTGTGGTTTAGGATGTTGAAGCAGGGATCTAGAAATTGAGTCTGTGCACTATGTGTGGCAGGGTATTACGCTATGAATACAGAGAGGACTTTTCAATATATGACAGGATACAGCATGGCTACATCAAAAACTTCTTAGACATAATGTGAGCGGTGGTACTCTGCTGTACATTAGTCAGTGTAGTAAGCCGGTGTGTAGATAGGATTGGATATTCCATTATCATACATTGAATCCATTTTCACAAAGAAGACTAACATCAAAATAGGTGAACACTACTTCTCAGTGTTTACTAGTCTACATATCCAATTCAAATTTAGCATCAACCAGACAAATCAAATTTTTACAGAGTAACCAAATAAAAAAGTTAGACTCCTTGTATTCTGTGGGTATTTCCCCCCCCCTCCCTAATATTTCCTGTCCGTTTACTTTCTTTTTTTCATATTTCTAAACCTCAGTGTGCCACATAATTGTTACTATGCAAAAATGAATTTGGAAGAAAGCTTATTTTTGCAGTATCAGTGATTGTAACATTCTTTTTTCTTTTCATTCATCTCCCTAAAGAATTGTCCAGAAAACACACCAAAAGCAAGACAGCTTGTATCCATTTCCATTGTAAAGAAAATGATGATGCCAAAGTTGAAGCTAACGAAGTTATGGCAGCTACAAAGTGGTATGGTGAAAAGCACAAGGAGCAGACTGCAAGGGCAAAGGGCTTAGCACATGCAAATGAAAAGCACATCTCTGGTTGTAACACTGTCAGTGCTGGGGAGAAATTAGCAGATCAAAGTCAATCTGTAGTTAGCAGCAGAAGCCGTTGTGAAGGAACAACAGGGCACTTGCAGAATATTAACTGCACTGATGGAAACGCAAAGAATTCGAGGCAGTGTGAAACTCTATCAAAAAGCAAACTGTACAAGCTGAAAGCAAGAAATAAAGAGTTAAACAGCGAGAGATATTCCCCAGCTGGCTCCAGCAGACCTGGAAGTGCCAGAATGAGATTTGTAAACATCAGAAATGACAGTTCACATGCCATCGTACAAACTAACAATGTGGCAAATAATGAATTAGCAAAAAAGACTTGCCCTTTACTGTCTATCAAAGCAGGAACTACAAGACCTGTGCCAAGTGATCCAGCAGCGCATGCTGTTTTTGATGACAGTCTGAACTTGGAAAAAATAGATATAAATGGGTCCAAGAATGCAGATCATCGAATCTGTTCCCATGTTGCATGTCAGAGTATGAATATTGAACTTATCCCATTAGAGATCCGTATGCAGATAATAGAAAAGGAAAGAACAAGAAAAGAGCTATTTCGGAAAAAGAACTATGCTGCTTCTGTTATTCAGAGGACATGGAGAAGGTAAGAAAATTGTTACAAGAGACTGGGGGAGGAAGAAACAATGAGAGAAAACATGATCAGATTAATTTAAGAACTTGCTTTTTCTATTTGGCCCTTTTCCTATAATGTGATTAGTGATAAATCAGGAATTTAATTCTCTGTCACTAAATACAGGCAGTCCCCGGGTTACGTACAAGATAGGGACTGTAGGTTTGTTCTTAAGTTGAATTTGTATGTAAGTCAGAACTGGCTCCAGATTCAGCCGCTGCTGCTGAAACTGACCAGGGGCTGACTACAGGAAGCTGGAGGCAGAATTGCTCTGCCCCCAGCTTCCTGGAATCA